CCCCCCCCCCCCGTCGCTGCTCTGCCCGTACATATATACCCGTCATTAGTTTTGCTGGCTGAACAAGAACGAGCTTGTAGTTGAGTGTCAACTCCTTCACTGGACGCAAAATCGCGACGCTTCCGTAGAATAGAAGCCCGTGCTTGTTCGAATCGCCGTCGATACCCTGCGCCATTTCTACCCGCAGTTGCGCTCGTTGTGTAGATCGCGTTGATTTTATGCGACGAGGAACTTGATAGCACACAATTATTTACCTGCATCATTCGCCGATTTTTCCATACGAGTTCGACTATGCGTCACGCGTTCGCGGACATCGTTATTTGCGATACCCTCATTGGCGCGCAGAGGATGGGAACAGTGAAAGGGTTGATTAAGAATGCTCGATTGTTGCGAAAGTTCTCCCGGTCTTTGCGTAATTGCTTCGAGATATCCCCGGGGAGGAAAAAGGGGAGGAACAAAAGGAGGGAAGTCCGTTCAAAAGTTCGTGGAGGTGAAAAGATATATTTGAGCTCTTCCGCAACGAACGATCTAAATATTTGAGGACTCACTATTTGAGGAGAACACGAACTTCCTTTCGATCCCTCGTGGAACTTTCCTCCCGCTTAACGTAAAAAAAACCGACGGGAACTTTTCGAACAATGCGAATTTGCGATTGATTGCTGGTAGATCGTCCCTTATATTGATCAGTCGGACGCTGCTCTGCGCCTTTCCCCTCCCTCCTTCCCCCGTCCACCACACTTGTTGTCTTTTTCTTTCTTTCTTCTTTGCGGCGCTCGCATTTGCATATAGCGCGCGATGCTCCCGGCGTTGGATATCTTTTCGCCGTTTTCCCAGCGAAAAGAAACGAACAGAACACGACCATACATCTCCCCCGCGAACCGGAGATAAATCATCGATGATCGCCCGCGGAATCGGCCGTTTGTTACGATCGGCGCGCGCGCGAGCAGAAAATGCTAACGTTCGCGAGAAATCGCGTATCATTGGCGATCTTCCGCGATCCTCCCCGTGCGGAATGCACGTCACTCAAGCGTATTCGGCCGCGGGATCACTCGAGTGCTGGCGGATCCACGCGAGAAACCCGCGATCGCAAATCATCGGCGCTATCTCACTCCCGCATCTACGTTTAAATACCTCTATCTTCTGGGCCAACTTGCCCGGCTTACACACGGGGCACGATATATATGTGTATATACATAATATATACAGTGCTCTCTCTCTCTCTCTCTGTCTCGCATATTTATCTGCACGAAAGTTACCGAGCGCTTGGCCCATAGATGTACATGTATCCTCCCCTTGGACTTCAGGCCGATTGTAGTAGCGATTAATCGTTGCAATTGAATCATGTATACGAATCGGATGTACGATACGCGATAATACAACTCGAATCGGAGAAGCTGTATGATTCCACTTTCGGTAACCGATACGCCCCGATATCGAGATTATTCGTGGGAGCGGAAACGCGCCCCGACCGTGTCGCGGACGCTCGCAAATGTATATCGTGCGATTATAACTGCGACGTTTTGCGACTGTGACATCGCGACGTCTATTCCGACGGGGCAAGAAAATTGGTCGAATTAACGCGATTAATGTGCGAACCGAATATGTTTTCGCTGAACAAAACGGAATTTTTGCTTCCAAAAACCAGATTTGCTCCCAGAGAATCAGATTCGTTTTTATTGCCATGTTAATTCAATCAATTTTTTCTTTGCGTATAGAGAAAGATTCCTTTAGATTTAATATTATAAATTCCTCTACTCGATACAAATTTGTCTTTTAGAGCGTAATAAATTAATTATTCGTTTCAACGAACAGGATTGTTTGATATTTTTCTCGAACCATAAATATCTCTCTTTACGTCAAATATCGTACTTCTCTTTTATTTTCATCCAGACACTCCAACGGTTGTCACAAGCAATAAATTATTCGAAATATGTGACACTATGTTAGAAAAATATTAGAGAACTTCGCTTTGTGTCTCTCGGGTGGGACAACATTTAATATATAATAAAATCAATCTGTTTTATCGAAAGCCAAATACTATTTCCTCTGGATAATACTGTTTTCTTTTGTCAAGCAGTACGGTTCGCTCAAACAAAATGATACTTGATATTACATTGTGTCGTTTATATTATAAACAAGCCCAAGCGAGACAAACACGCGTAATAAATCCAAAGGAACCTTTTTCTCAGCGTGTAGGAACGTGAAACATCCGATGTTCCTTCGGCGATAATAACGACGATAATAACGCGGCCCGAATGAAGAGCAGTGACGATTCATTCCGCGTTCATCGCGAGCTTATTAAAAATTACGAGACCAGGCCGATCCGGTCAGGCGGGGAAATAAATAAACGCGAGGCCGTACGTGGCTTCCAGCGCAACATCACAATTGCCCTAATTAACTCTATTCCCAGTTCATTCCTCGAATGCATGATTCAATTAGATCGCCGCAAGGAAATTTCACCGCTTCTTCTATCCGAATTCTCCCAAGTATTCTAGCCCATTCGCTCACAGTCGACGATTAATCGTCACTGCAATCGGAGGGAGGTTCGTGTGCGATACGAAGTTCGCGGCGCCGCCCGCGAGAATTTTTCTCTTCGGGAAACGCGACGCGCGAAATTGCTTATTGCTCTTCTCTTCTTTCTTACGTCTCTCTCTCTCTCTCTCTCTCCCTCTCTCTCTCTCTTTCACGTCGACCGTTTTTCGAAAACGACAAATTTACTCTCGAAAATTTACGATCCGATCTCCGTTACGAGAGTTCCGTCGCGGTTCAAGAGCAAAAATGCGAGATTCATCGGTCAGCGTCGCGACTCACTTCGCTGAAATTGTGACGATCGCGCGCCGTTTCCTCCATTCCTCAATGCGAATGTTGTACCTGCCCGCTGCTCGAGCTTCCTTGACAGTGAACGTCAATTTTCCGGATGTACGTTCGGCAAAGTGAAATGATATTTACGAGAGAGTTCTCTCAGAAGAACGGACTCGTCGTTTATACCGCGAATTCCGCGGATCAAGCTCTCTCTCTCTCTCTCTCTCTCTCCCTTTCGAAGAAACGAGACTCTTTGTTCGGGTTAGCTCGCTGCAAGTCGCAGCCGAGTGCAGGCGAGAAGCGCAGGTGCGATACTCGCGCCGAACGAGAGCCGATAATAATAAGAAGGTCGCGCCGATAATACCGCATCTGGCGCGGATAACGATCGGTACATAGTTCGGTAGTAATTGAGGAATTACGTTTATACGCCTGTGTACCCGTGTCAGCCGCGATACGCTCATAGGGTGTTCCAATTGAAATGCCGCGCGTGTCGCGATAACACTAAATTATCTCGACCGGTGCCATTAGCATTAATTGTCGACTGTTCGACCGCGTGTCATAATTCGCGCGCGCGTACGCACACACGTCGAAAACACTCGCGTCTCATGCGCGTGTTAACGCGCTAAACGCAAAGCGCCTTCCTTTCGGCTTCTCTTTTTCTCGCGCGTCAGCTGGAATAACCTCGGACTTTTAATTCCGTTCTTGATTAACGCTGCGCCATCGATCGTTCTAATAGGGATTATCCGCACTTTATGCTTTTATCCGAGCTAATCAGCGGGACTGCTGGCGTTCCCAATTAAAGGAATATTCATTCACCCGAGATATCTGTACACAAAAACGATAAATACAGTCCGCCTCCGCGTGATTCACGTGAAAATGTAACGTCGAATTAAAGGGCTGGGAGATTTTCCTTTTTTAGGACGCGCATAGCCTCATTTCAATATTCTGAATATCCAGGACCATAATTCTTTCAATCGTGCTTCCGCCGAGCGGTTAGTTGCATCTGATAATGCGTCGTACTTTACCAAACCTTCCGGCCAAAAAACGCCGCGCGCTTTCCATTCGCCAAATTCTCTCTCTCTCTTTCTCTCTCTCTCTCTGGTACCCAAAGTCGTTTGAGAGTCGTTCGATCAATCGCTTATCGTGTGGCAGAACGCGGCTGCGGCGATAATTGATTCGCACTCGGTGAATTGAAACGTAAGGGAGAAAGAGAGAGAGAGCTTTATTGAGCCGCGGGCTTATCATTCGCCGTTGGTCGTTGATAGGTACGGAAATCCCGATCCCCCTCTGCTCTCCCCTTTCCCATGGCCGACAGCATTCCGCACAAAAGTACGCCGATACCGGCGCGTCGGACGAGGGAGGAGGATCAGGTTCGCGATCAGGCGCGCGGATTTTCCGTATGTCGCGTCAACGGTGAGTTCGATTCGCGCGGTAATGATTTCTCCGTGAGCGAAATAACCGGCTCGAAGAGATAAATAAAACCGATTCGTTTATTTCCCCGATGCGGGAGCGAGCGAGCGAGAGAGAGAGAGAGAGAGAGTGGGAGATGACGTTTTCGGGATCCTCTCTAGGGCAAGGACGATCTCTCGCGCCCGCATCCCGCATTCCCGGCATCCCGGCGTCCGCCTGGACCTTCGGTGCACACGACGGCACTCCGTCGTTAGCGAGAAAATTTCACTCGGATCTTAATTAACGAGATATTTAATCGGGGCATTTATCAGACGGCAACTCTCTTTACTCGATAGTTGCCCGACTAGGTCCGTATTTCCTTATCGATGCTAATTAGGAATTAATTGGAAGCCACGCAACTTCCGGGATTTCGGGCGAGCCACGTTACCACCAATAAAGAATCGGTTCTGCAAATTCATGCGTCGTATGAATCACGACTAACTTTCGCGAACTCGTTACCCCGTGCTCGGTATCTTATCGACTTAACGGGACACGTGGATTTGCGGCGTTTTAACGTCGACCTCGATCACGTCGGGGCCGATTAATTACGGTAAAAGGAAAATCAGCGCGCGGATCTCGAGTCGACATTTTGGTCCTATGTTAAGCCTTTAATTTTGCAACATAGCGGGATCTAAGATAGCGAGGTAGATTCAATTTCAGCTCTGATAATGTAATATAACCTTTGCTTTGACCTTGATGATGTCTCGAGCTTCCGTTTCCGCTGTTTTAGCGTCAAAATAGGTTGGCGAAGATGGCATTAAAGTTCAATCCGTAGAGTTAAAGGTTCAAGAGAGAAGTTAAAAAGTGCCAATATCATCAAAGTGGGTTTTTATTGGTCTATAGACCGTCTAAATAGGCGCAGACTATCCTTAACTCGTAAGTGAGCGCGTAACTTTTTTTGAATAAAACAACCGCCGCTTATAGCTGAGATTCTCAAATGTCACTGACGCTACTTCGCTAAATCCAAGAGTAAATTATGGAGGCAAATTACTGAAAATTGCTAACGTACACTGAGAAAAAGATTTCCTCAAATTTAATAAATCTTATTGCATTCAAACACAAATTTCATCACTGGCATGCCACAGGAGAAACATTCATGCATTTGTTCACGCGTCTGTGGGTTAGTTTGATCTCACCGCTTACGAGTTAAGAGCGTTAGGGTAGCGTCAAAATTTCGACTCGGGAGTCCTCGTCGAGATTGTTTCGCGCTTCTCGCGATCTCGCGACACATAAGACACGTATACACGCCGCTGATTAAAACTGGAGCGCCTATACGCCTACGTAATGACGTATACGACGCGCCTATTGCATCGATCCCGCGTATGCAGCTCGCTGCCATCGGCATCGAACCGTAAAAATAGTACGGCTGAACCCGGAGGAATCGTCTCCGCGCCGTGTGACTCACGGAAATAACGCGGCGCGCTTGATTTGTACACAATACCGCGCGCTCATCCTTCACGGCCGACCTGTTTTTCGCGAACGCGCTTTTTCCGAAAAATATCGGCTTTGTGTGTGCACGTGACCGACTCGCCGGTGTCGTCGCGATTCGTGCGACGATTTCGCGCGTGGCAGAGAGTCCCCTTCTCCTCCCTCTCCACCCGGTGAAAATTTGCGCGCGTGAAATCGAAAATCGGCGAGTTCCACCGGCTGATTCTAGAACGGGGAAAATGTCGCGGATGCGAATCTCCGCAAGATTGCCGGGAGACACGAACGTCTCGGCGTTCGAGTCAACGACTCGAACAACGAACGGAAAGGATCTCACCTACGATCACCCGGTACATACACAATGACAAATTTCGCGCTGATAACGGCCCACTGAAATTTCTGTCACTTTAACATGTTAAATATATTGAAAGGTACACAAATGTATGTTGAATTAACATGTTCGTCTCGTGAACAAATTACTTTCTGACATATTCACCTTGTTAAAGTGACGCAAACATTTCTCGGGGCAGTTATTTACACGAAATTTTTTATCGTGTAGTAAACTCAATCGACGAGAGAGAGAGAGAGAGAGAGAGAGAGAGAATAGCCGGGATACAGTTAATCGGGAAATCATTCTTCTCTCTCTCTCTCTCTCTCTCTCTCTCTCTCTTTCTCTCCTTTTCTGTCTTTTTCTGTATATCTCCGCGACTCTCGATCATTATCGCTTGCTCGCTCGTGTTGCACCCGCTTTTCCGAAAGCTTTTCCCGCATGGCGCTTGTCAGAGTTGCTTTCCGACTCTCTAGCACCGAGAGAACAAAAAATGTAAGACCCTCTTACACAGATAGAGGTCACTTAATTCCGACATAAACATCCCTGCTTTACGAATTCTCACCAGCAGCGAATTCTCTCGCGATTTTCTCGTTGTGCTTTTTTTGTCGTAGTAAGTGTAGCGGCTTCCGTGTCTGTTTTGCTTGCAATCACGCTTGGGAAGTCAGTCGGAACTTCACGGTGTCCCGATCGTTGGAATTGTTTTCTGTCACCCAGACGGACTTGCATAATAAGGTATATCCGTAATTGTCCCTCGCAAAACTGTCGTGAATCGCAAGTGGATGTAATTAAGAGAAAGCGAAAGCATTAGCCGTAATCAATCCGCGCGACTCTCGTTCCGGTGTCGATTCAAAAATTTCATTTATAAACTGTCCGAAGCAGAAGAGAGAAAGTTGGAACGGACGTTGTTGAATACAACTGTGTGACTTTTTGGGAAAATTACAATTTGACCGGTGCGTCGGAAAACGAGGAAAACTTCGCGAGCTTCGAGACGTTTCAACGATCACACGTATTTACATATGATCGAGAGGCCGGACGAAGCGACGACGTTGTACGAAATTAGCTTTCGAGAAGGACGAGGAGGACGACTGCTTTGATGACCACGTGAATCTTGCAGGGCCGACTCTGGAGCCACCGTTGCCCAGGCGAAAGAAATATCCGGAGCTCGCTTACAAGACACACGAATTCATCACCGCGGCGGACGGCGGTGGCATCGATGCCGTCGACTCGAACGTCGTAGCTGACAAAGTCCGGGTATGATCGATCCCTCCATTTAGACACGATCGGGCGCGAATCGATCGATGAATCCGCGATAAATGCGCCAGCTCGCTTGATGAAGTGCCCGCGCCGTGAAACACCTTCGACGCGAGTAATCGGCAGCGTTGCGTGCCCAGTACAGTTTCAGACACCTTGTATATTCTTTCTTTTTTCTAAATAATTGCAATCAGATGTATCAAAGGGGGAAGCTTTCCCGTAAGTGGATAAAATAATTAAGTAAATAAAAATAAACGAAGCGCGGAGGTAGACTCTCGTCGTCGTTCGTTCCGAAAAGCGCTCGACCGAGCTCGAGATCAAAATTCCGACTCTCCCCTGCAGGAGGTTACAGCGACATCGGCACTGCCACCGAGTCAGCTCAGCAAGGCGATATCTCGTATCAGCACTGAGTATCGGCTGCAGTTCGCCTGGCCTAGGAGACCGCAGCTGACGAATGGGGAGACCTTGGCGCCGGTTCCTGCGGCGGGCGGTCCTACGGGCACCGCTGGCCCGCCGAGGAAGTCTCTCAGCATGGGAGCGCTTAAGCAAGGCATGGCGCCCAGCGGACCCGCTCCGGTTCATAAGAAACGGCCCGGCGATTTCGATCACAAGCGCGATGGTACTTGTTTTTTTCAGCGTGATAATTATTGTTTTGAAATTTCCGAAGAGAATCAATTTTTTTCCCCAATTTTCCGCAAATTTTTTCGATTTCCTATCTTCTTCGTGGAAAAAAGTAAATGTGGTAGATTTTAATCGAGTGAATTTTTCCGAACGAATTTCCCTACCTTCGGAACAGAAACCGAAGAAATTTGCGGAAAAACTTGGGGGAAAACTGTTTATTCTCCGGAATTTTGAAACGATATTGATAATCCATTTTCGATATCGATCGATTAGCTTTAACAGAGTGGTTTGATAATTCTTGGGGAGGGGGGGAATGTTTCGCACGGAGATTCTTTTTAATTATGCGTCGCTGTATTTGTGAACTGTCTCTTCAACGGGATACCGTGTCATCACAGAATGATAATATTTTTGAATGAAAAATATCGCACACTGCGCGTACAAGAACTCGCCCGATCTCATTATTCAACGTTCGCCTCCTTCGTGTTTCTTTTTACAGGGGTCCAAGCGTCCGAGTTGGAGCCACTGGTGGGCGGTACCGGGACGGACACGATCGACGGCACGGTACCGGAGGGCGACGAGCGCGAGGAGGATCTGTCGGATTTGAAAATAGCTTTCAGGTCAGATCGCCAGCCGGGGGCTGAGTGGGCAGGGTTTCTCTCGCGCGAAAGTAAACGGGAAGCAATAAAGAAAAAGAGAAAAAATTCGGGAAATCCCCGCGAAGCGGGCCGGTAGATATAACGAGGAAGCGAAAAAGAGCGAATCTACGACGATCCCCGATCGGTGTGAAGACGCGTCGTATCGGTAACCGCCGCGACGATTACACGCGATCATTACACGTGAGACTGACTTATTTGCAGGGGTAAAAGGTCAGGTAGAACCGTGCGGATATCGGACGATAAGCGGCCGGGCAAATCGCAGGCGAAACCATTTCCCACGGCGGAGGTGATCGAGCTCCGGCGACTCGCTGACGAGTACAAGGTAATCCGTGGGAGACGCGATTCGTCTCGATCGAATCGCGAGACTCTTCGAGGTTATCGCGCCGGTTCACCCCCATCTTTCTCTTTCTCTCGTGTGGTGTTCCTCTCGTGTGTCCTTCGCGCGGCACAAACGTTCGATCGACCCGATCGTCGGGCTCGTGTTCTACCCGACGACGCTCGTGCATCCGCGAACGAGCTTCCGATCGTCGAGATCATGCATGTTTTGTGCCCTTTGTCCTGTTGTTGCAATACCCTTTACGACGACTACGACCACTACGGGAATCCGCGTCGCGTGTTTCCCAAGCCGCGCTACTATGTACACATCCCCCGATAATACGCCGCGTCTGAATATACGACCGAATGCGAAAGTAGACTTTCGATCATTCGACTTGTCTCATTATTAGATATTACACGACACAATTGACTCGCGACCGTTGCGCAATCGCGCACGCTTAGCCCGACTATGGCCGGTATTTATAGTCGGATCTTATTTTTAAGATCGTCTTAAGGATGTATTACCCATTAATATCGTATTTTTAGTGGCATATCAGGAGGTTCATTTATAAATTTTATATTTATCGAGTAAAATAACGTCCTTAGACATTTATTTCGCTAGTTAAATAATAGATCTAAATGTTAATTTGAAACGAATTTGAGATAGACGTATATATTATAAAAATACATAATATTACAAAAATATGAAAATATTATTTTACCCGTTTTATATATTTTTTTATTTTATATTTTTTTATATTATATTTTATTTTGTTTTTTATATATTTTATATATCTTATTTTTTTTTGTTAATGCTATATTTATGCTAAAATTATGCAGTTGATTTAATAAAAATGCACAGATAATGGAAAGAAAAATTAAAAATAGTACACTAATTTTTCAAGGAACTTGTATAAAAAGTGTTAAATTTAGTTGCAAATATTTCAACTCTTGAACGATCAATCTTTTTCTACTTGCACGAGCAATGATTTAGATAATATTTCAATGTGTACATAGTGCAAGTATCATCGAATTCTTATCAAACTCATTTCATCTTACAGCTTTCTTTAAAATGGAACAACTTTTGATCCCGGCTCTGAATTACTGTCAAACTTTTGGTGCCACTTTTAAGTACAATGTAGATCAATTTGTAAACTTGTAACTTTTTCATTTTTTTCATTATTTTGAGTTATGGGCAATACATCCTTAAATATAAGATCCGTTTATGAATATCGTTCTATGATGTATGTTGCGCGGCTTTTCATCGGAGCGTCAGAACCGAACCCTCGGGACGCTTCCCGCGATCCCGAAAGTATAATTTCCAAAGCGAAAGTACAAGTGTACTCCACGTTCCAAATTCTTCTCATTCTTCGCCACCTGAACAGGATATTCAGTGTCTCTCCAAGCATGCTCTATGTTCTCTCTTAGGCCGAGTAGCACCGACGCTTTCGATTAACCGAGCCCGGTTAACTACATCTCACTAAGTATACGTAGAAAAAAATAATTTCACAGCACAGCAAATTTTATGCTGTCGCTGCAAAATCCGTCAGTTACTATATGGACGATAATTACCATTCGCTGGATTATTTTGCTGAATCTACAAATTATTTTGTTGTGATAATAAATTAGTAAATGTAGAAAAACACTTTTTTTTTTCTAACAGCAAATTAACGCGTCCTAAGGACAAATTCACTCAGTAGAATATTTTCTATCCTGGCAATAAAACTGTTTCTGCTGCTCTAATTACGGATGATTCGCTAATTCGGCTGTACCAAATAAATTTTATTTCTGTCACAACGAATATGCATAATAGAAGAGAATGAGTTTCGCTGCAGGAGTAAAATTATTTTTCTCCATGCGTTTAATTATAAAATTAATGTGCGCATCTGAAGTGTCCCGAATCCACCGAGGCAACTTTCGTCCGCGAGTTTTTTGTCTATTTCGAGCATAGTTTTTCAAATGATGACTCACCGAGAAAAGTCTTATGTCATCTTGAAATCGGTCGAAGTACTCTTCGGCGAAGAGCGGCACGGTGGAGTCGCCTGCACGGAGAAAAATAAATTGCCGGCACAGCAAATTTTGTGCTGTCGCAGCACAAAGGCTGTCAGTTATTATGTAGACAACAAATTGGTCTGTTAAAAATACTAATTCCCATTTGCCGAATTATTTTGCTGAATCTACAAATTATTTTCCAATAAAGGCGACAAAACTGCTTCCGCGTGAAAGTAAAAATGCCGTTGAATCAATCGAATTACCAACGGCACGCGTAATTCGAATGAATCTTCTTGATTCAATAGCGGTACCATTGAAAACGATATTTTAATTATTGGAACAATACATAAATGGTTCTAATGATATTTGCCATCGAATCGGGAAGATTATTCCAATTACGTTTGGAAATTTTATTGATTCAACGGCATTCATTTTCTGCGTTCTCTAATTACGAATAATTCGCTGATTTGATTATGACGATTTCAACTTTATTGATTGCCGCGACGAATATGTGGCAATAACGGTTTTGCCACGACAGCAAAATTATTTTTCGCATGTTGGGGGCGTGCAAAGAGAAATCTCTGAAGATAAGCGAATAATCAATCAGCATCGGGGATCTCCGCGATCGTTTGGACTGAATTATTAATTCTCCATGGCCAGCCGGAGCGTTAATCGTCGTTGGTGCAACCGGGCCCTCTTATTGTGTCCCCTTTAGAATGTGTGTGTGGTCGCGACCGTCCAGCGGTAGATTAGATCGCGGCGATAACGACACATAGCTGATACATTTTGGTTTGCATTAGCATCGTGACTGGGGTTGCGGTCTGGCGGCCGAGGACGAGGCTTCGCTGTGGAAACGAGTCTCCAGTAACCATGCGCTCAACGCCCTATCCCTTGCCAGGCCAGTACACTACTCCTCATCATTTTCGGCTCTCATTCGTCGTTCGCGCGATCTCCGGCTTCACGCATCACGGCCGCGCGAATCGTCTCCCCGTCATTGGCGAAGCGGGGATCTCCGTTCCGTAAACTGCACGTTGCATTTGTTGTGCGACGACTTATCCAAGAAAGACCGAGAAAATTGCCGTTTCGCATCCGTCCGATCGAAATTCCGTCGAATTCCAAATTGGAACGTGCGTAGAAGGGAGAGAGAGAGAGACGCGTTTCCCGACCTCTCTCTTTCTCTTTCTCTCTCTCTCTCTCTCCGGGAGATCATTCGGGAACCAACTTGCGAGACGCATCCGGGTTACGCGTGTCGGTTTGATCTGTCGATCACCGTAACAGCACTTCGAACACCAACTGTCACTCTAGCACACCTTTCGAAGCAAACACACACGTGTTTGCAATGTTTTGTCGTCTCGAGGGGGTGTCTCGGCGCTTTCAAAGCGGTTACGCTTGAGTCGCTCGGAAGTGTCACCTGGGGCGCATACGAGTGCACCGCTCTTCGCCGTCGTGAAGTCACACACGTGTTCGTTGTGCTCGTCGTGCTGCGATTTAGAATCGTCTTGGACACGTCGTGAATCAAGGAAACGCACGATGGGCGAGAACGTTCGATCGCGAGGGTCCACTGACTCGGACCTGGTAAATGTGTTCGCACCTTCACGGGCTCCGTCGTAGTTAGCCTTTTGTTTCTTCCTCGAGCGGGCCCGATAGTCGGATCTTGACGATCACGCGAACGTATCGATCGGCTGTTTAGATCGGTCACCAAAGAGGAGAAGGAGAAGGAGAACAGGAAGGTCGCGCCGATCGCCACGATGGTGACTTTGCCACCGGCAGGTCGGCCGTCTTCGGTGCAGGCTAGACCGATTCACGGGATATTGCAGGACGACATCAAAGCGGTATGCGAGTGTTCCCTTGAGTAATCGACATCTCCGCGAAATTCACGCGAAATTCACTCGTCACCGAGTGCTCGCGACCCGCATCGACGTAATTTGTGGAATACTCGGCTTAAGCTTTCTTCGCTTCGATCTCCGATTGTCGAACGACTGACGAGTTATTCTAAAAATGTGAAAATACAAAAAGAAATTAGTATTATTATTATTGGTATTACACCGTTCGTTATATCGTGGCTTCGGAGGGGATGTTGACGAACTGTTAAAATTACTACATGAAATGTGAATTTTGTCGCGGGATAATGACCGATATAATTGACTTTTTCTCATCATTTGCGGAATACTCGACTTCAGTTTTTTGTTTCGATCTCCGATTATCCGCGACTGACGAGTTACTTTATAAGAGTATAGAAATAAAACAAGATTAATATTATTATTATTATTATATCCGTTTGTTACATTGTGGATTTGGAGAAGGTGTTGACGAGTTGTTAAAATTACTACATGAGATGTGAATTTTGTCGCAGGATAATGACCGAGCCATCGCTCGCGCAAGAAAGGATTTCTTGATCCGCCACCACCTCGATCGTACTACCGGTGTAGGTACGTGATTAACAGCTAAATCAATCCGACTAAGTAACACCGGTAAGCCCGACTTAATTAGAAGCGACATAGCGAGCGTCGGAAGCCGCCTAACTATATTCACCGCCGACGGAGATAATCTTTCTCACCGTGGTACCGTAGACGCGACAGGTGTAAATTCAAGGGGAATTTTCTTTCTGCCCAGGTGATGGCGCACTGCTTCCCTCTCCTACGAGAGAGAAGCTGGAGCCCGTCATCCCACGGCGGCGCGAGGACACGAAGGAACATCGGGACGAGATCCAACCGCGAACCAAGTCCAGTCCGAAGAACAGTCCGCGAACCGGACGCTCGCAGAGCCTCGGACCGACCGTTACCGATCGCAGATCGCCTAAACGTCAGCCTCCGCGTGCGCCGTCCGTCACTAAGGACGCCAAGGTGAGTCGCTGTCGTTACATCATCGGCGACGCGTCGCAGAAAAGCGCGAGAAACGACGCAACACGAACTCCGCCCTAACTTTTTTTCCCATCACGTCTTGCCGATCAGTTTCCGCTCCGTTCGGAGAATTCCGGTTGAAAAGTGTGTGCGAGCACGCGAAAACTCTCCCGAGATAGATATCCCGCTGCCTTGTTCGCGCGAAAAATTCACCTGGACCAATTAAATCCGCTCGTCGGCGAGAGAAAGTTTCGAAAAGGGAAAAGCCCGGTTCGCGGAAAGGAGGACGAAAAGAAAAAGAAGAAGAGTAGAGTAGATAAAGTATCGGTAGCGCGATTACTCGGATCAAGTTCGCAATTGCGTTCCGCGCTATCGGAACCGCAGTACACCAAGGGATTTACTTCAGTTTGCCAAGGAGAAGGAGAAGGAGACGAAGGACAAGGAGAAGGATCAGAAGGAGAGAAGCGGTGAGCCCGAGAGGCATCCACGACCGAGTAAGTAGCGCAAACTCAACGACAATTTCGTTTTAACGTTAGTCGTTACTTGAGACCCCAGTCGGTTTAGTGCCCAAGGGATCGTAATCCCCTCCCCCCTCCCCCCCCCGAATCGATTGGCGCTCGTAATCTGTCACGAAATTCCCCTTTGCATTTTTGTGCATAAACTGGATTTTGATTAGAGTACTTTTATACATATATATATATATATATATATATATATATATATATATATAT